AAATTGGAGCAAATTCAAAGAATGCCAGAAAATTCCTAACACTGGGGAAAAGATAAGAGTAGTGTATCTTACAGTAGGGGTGAATGAGCCAGAAATGTGCATGCAGAATAACTTGGAAGCGCTGGTTCCGTTTCATACGAGAGCAGCAAAGTGAAACTCATGATACAATGATAATTTAATAACTTTTGCCTTGCTATTATTATTCAGCAGGAATATATGACTAGGAAGAATAACTAAATGCTAAAAAGCTTTGACAGCATTGACTCAAAATGATAGCTATTTCATTTCAGGGCTTGTATAATTTTGAGTATCTAGTTCCTCTTTTCCCATATTAATGCTGAAAAGACAACTGTTAACTTCCTCCTGTGCTGTTTTTTTTCAACGCAATGAATTCTAATACCTCTTAAAAGCATGGGTTTTCTTGGTTTTCGTGTATTTTCCTAACTTTAAAATCTTCTGTCCCTGCCTAAAGTATAAATTCCATATAATAGAAATAAGGGGGGGGGCGCATCTAAACTGGTTTCTTCTGCTGCTGAATTATTTCTACTTATCCACTACACGATCGTATTTATGTCTAGGTGGAAAATTAAGACGCGCTAACTCTACAAGATTTGTGTTTCCCTTCTCAGGAGACATTCACTCGGTGGATTTACTCTTCAACCTGGATCGTGTTACTGCTCTAGAGCACTTACTCAAGTCTGTATTGCTCTATTCCTTTGACACGTCAGTTCCCATTTCTTCTTCCATTACATGCATGTGCCATTTATCTGTTAAGGAGCGTGATTTTTCTAGCCAAGTATGTCCCAGCATTTCACACACTATAGCTTTTAGCCTGCACTTTGAAGTTAGAAAACGCAAGTGGGTTGAGATTGATGTGACTTCTTTTCTCCAGCCACTAATTGCTACTAATAGGAGAAATATTCATATGGCTGTGAACATCACTTGTCTGATGGGTGATCCACAACAGAACACTAAACTGGAAAATCCAATTCATATGGCACTGGTTCCCCCTTCTCTTCTTCTTTATCTGAATGATACCAGTGAGCAAGCTTATCACAGGTGGAACTCCCTTGGACACAGAAGGACAAACCCAGCGTGGCCCAGGCAAGGGACCAGTCCTCTTGTTGATCCTACGGGTGACAAAGACAAAGAGAATTCACAGGGTAAACGGGCTTCTCGGCGCCGAAGAGATGGGAATCTGCAGGAAGCACCAGCAACTCCACCTTATAATTTGAGCAAGTATTTTAAACAATTTCTGTTCCCTCAAAACGAGTGTGAGCTTCACAACTTCCGTCTAAGTTTTAGCCAACTAAAATGGGACAAATGGATAATAGCACCTCACAGGTACAGCCCCCAGTACTGCAAGGGCGACTGCCCAAGGGTCGTCGGGCATCGTTACGGCTCTCCGGTGCACACGATGGTACAGAACATCATCTATGAGAAACTGGACTCCTCTGTCCCCAGGCCCTCCTGCGTCCCTGCTGAATACAGCCCGCTGAGCGTCCTGACCATAGAGCCCGATGGCTCCATTGTCTACAAAGAGTATGAAGATATGATAGCTACCAAGTGCACCTGTCGGTAGTGGGTGAACCCTAGTTAGTTTTACTCCAGGTTTGGGTATTTTTGCATTCTCAAAGTATCTGTAGCTTTAATCAACTGAACAGCATGTGTGTAACTCTAATAGCACTCTAAAACCAGTTAGGATTTGGCATGGAGTTAGTAGAAGGTGTTTACATCATAGCACTTATTTTTGTAGCCACTCAGCATTTCTAGAATGCGAAATTAAATGTAAGTAATATCTTTTTATTGGAATAATTCTGCATTTAAAATGTGGAAAAGCTTTCAACTACCATATGTCTATTTTAAGCTGTTTTGTTACAGATTTAAAAAAAGAAATAAATGCTTATCATGCATATCACTTACATTCAGTGCCTGCTAGTCTTCCTCTAGATAAAGAAAACTGTGGTGTGACATCTCCAGCAAGTGTCTAGGAAGAGAGGAAAGCCTTAATGTTAAAACTGCTTTCTCAGTTTTTCATTCTTTTTTTTCCCCCCTACCACGTTTCCAGTTCCCCAAGCAAGAAGTCAATTCCTCCTTACGGTTCTGTAAAAAGTTACGAGGTTGTTTTTGTTTTTCTTCTGTTACACTCTTCAGGCTTTCTCAACAGGTGGTAAGAATTTAAGGACAGCTGTGTGGTAACTTGTGAAAACTTAAATCACTGAACTACTCCAGTAAGAACTGGCACCAGGAAGTTAACTGGCTGTTAAAACCAGAAAGGCTTGGTCTAGTTCAAGGACAAATCACCAGCTGTTCATGGGCTGAGGGCACAGGGTTCTGCATGTGGAACTACACTGTCACTTCTGAATGACAAAGAAATGTTCAATGCTGTCAGCTTAAAAAAAAAAAAGGCCTTTAGAAGTTTATTAAATTAGTTTATTTAAATGCTGTTAAAGTGGCTTAGTAGTCTGAAAATGTGAAGCCATAGCCTTGTCCTCTCACAATGAAAGTGTAAGTAACAGTGCCTTAATTCTATGTGCTTTCAAACCAAGTTTTTACTACAATTGATTTATTTTCTTCTAGACCCTCTAGTTTCAAGAATTTTGACAAAAATGCTGGTTTCAGGCTGGGGCCCCAAGCTAAGATGGCTTTAGATGTGGCTCACACATCAAACCCCCCATATTTGGTAGGGATTTTTATTTTTTTTTAAATAAAAGGATGTGGAGCAGCACTGTCTTTTCAAAACATGCTGGGAATAGCCTTTAAAATGATGATTTGCTAATTCATTGCTATATAAATGCCTTAACTTTGTACAATAAGCCACCTGGCCAGCCCCTAACCTTAGATCCTGACCTATGCAATTCCAAGGGGCTTGGCCTGGGGCTGGGAGCTCAGCCTGGCAGGGAAAGGATGGAGCCCAAGGGCGTGTGGGTTTATGTTACTGTGACAGAGGTTCACCGTGAGCTGGTTTGTGTTGGTGTGACACTTCTCCAAGCTTGAAGTACTCCATGGAGGTGCGGTACCGTCTGGCTGACAGTCGTGTAACTTCTATCCTAGTGAAGTTGCTAGCGCAGAGTGCAGTAGCCTGGACCTGTTGAAGTAAAAATAGTGCTTGCATTGGCTCTAGTTGGAGAGTTGTTTGCAATAAATACCAAAACCTCAAGGAAAATATCTCAATGTCAAAAAAAAAAAAAAAAAAAAAAAAAAAAAAAAAAAAAAAAAAAAAAAAAAAAAAAAAAGAACCAGCTCAGAGTTAACACTACATTTGAAGGCTTTAATTCAAAGCACCCAATATGTGTCGTTCCTGCTAATCCCTTTCCAACAGCAGGAATTCAGCTTCACTGAGCCACCAAGGAGGAAAATATAGTAATATAGTTAATTCTTCCTTTGACACAAATGGAAAAGCCAGTTGAAGGCAAAAGTGCTGAGGTTGAGCTCAAGAAACCACGTTTTTGGGTCAGTTTAGGAGAGATGTAATCTCAGCACTGAAGTGATTCGCAGAAAAAAAAGACTCTACAACTCGAATAGAGTCACGCAGCAGGGGTGTTTACTCTGGCCGGGGTGCAAGGGGATTTCTCCACAAAGCTTGCACATCAGCAGCACATTTCACCAAAACTTATAGAGTGTGGATAACCATATTAACTGGGTTACATAACACAAACATACATATGCATGAGCAGGGCTGGGTTAGTTAGAAAGAACGGTGTCAGTTTATGTCTCTTTGCACCTGCACATTGCCTCCTGGGGGGCGTCTTCGGGGGCTTTGGGAGGAAGGCTCGTAGTCTTTCTCACCCTGTTTTTTCCACGGAGCACGTGCAGATCCTCTTGGCCAATTTCTTGAATAACAAAAGTGTTTTTCAGCCGGTTTATTTTTTGATCTAATCTAAGAGAACCAACAGAACTTCTACCATTCGTCTACGACTATCTATAGTCATTATCAAAATTCCAACTCCTTAGAGCCACCTGTTCCTCAAGGACAGAGCATAATATTTTGCTGAACATTGTGTAGCCCCTGGCAGATTTTCACAGTGAACTGCTTTGTTTTGATGAACGCTGTAGTCCTTGGTAAAATTTCACAGAACAGTCTGAGCAAGCGGGATTCTCAGCGATATTAAAACCACTGTAAGTAAGTTGCTAGGCAGTTTTCTGTAAGTAAATAAATCCCAGGTAATCATTTCTCTGTATCAGAGGGTTGAGCTTGCATTCTCCAAGAAGTAAGTTGCTAAACAGTTTTCTATAAGTAAATAAATCTTAAGTAATCATTTCTCTGTATCAGGAGGTTGAACCTGTGTTCTCCAAGAAGTAAATTGCTAAACAGTTTTCTTTAATAAATCCCACGTAATAATTTCTCTGTATCAGAGGGTTGAGCCTGCGTTCTCCAAGAAGTTGCTAAACAGTTTTCTGTAAGTAAATAAATCCTAAGTAATAATATCAGAAGGCTGAACCGCTGTTCTCCAAGACGTAAGCTGCTAAACAGTTTTCTATAAGTAAATAAATCCCAAGTAATCATTTCTCTGTATCAGAAGGTTGAGCTTGCATTCACCAAGAAGTTACTAAAGAGTTTTCTATAAGTAAATAAACCCCAAGTAATCAGAATAAATAAATCTGTATCACAAGGTTGACCCTGCGTTCTCCAAGGTGGATTTCTGTTTCAACTCAGCCCGCTGGAATATTTAATAATAATTTTGAGGCTTTTTCCTGTAGAGGCTGGAAACTTCCCCCCCGCCACTACCACCACCGGGCCGCTTCTTGGGTGAGGAACAGTTTAGATTTGACGTTTTCCAGCAGGACCCTTCTCCCCTCGGACTGAGGGACGTGTTGTTGGGGTGAAATTATGATAGCGGTGGTTTTATCGCGATAAATCGCCCTCAGGGCCTACAGCGAGGGGGGGCGGGCAGAGGCAACCGCCGGCGGGCGACCCGGAAGCGGAAGCGGCTTCGCCGCTTC